TCCAGAAGAGGAAACTGCCAAATAATTGCAAATACACACATGGAAAGGGAATTTGTAATGGGGTATGTGCTGGACTGTGGCTATACAGACTTGGGTAAAGTCTTCTCTCTGCTGGAGACTTTCCTGGGGATCCCATGCATCACTTTCTGTGCCTTAATTCCCAGTGTGTAAAACCTGGATAATATCCATCACTGCCATTCAGGCTGACTTGCTGCATTGCTCCTTTGAGCCTAAATTGTTCTTTTTTAGAGAGTTTAAATACAGAGAAATAAAACACTAAGAGCAATGATATCTCCCAAGGCTTCCAAGATCACAGAACAAACCATGTTGGAAGGGACCTTTAAAGGTCACCTAGTCCAACCACCCACATATCTGGCATCTAACACTGATTCTGGATGTCAGCTGCCTCCTTCACAAAGGATCCAAAGGGAAAGGTAGTTCCCATGCAGCTAGCAAGGACAGTGGCTCTGCACATCCATGCTCTGACCTTCACTTCCACACTGGTGGATCAGAGCAACTCTTGGCTCTGAGATGAGCTTGTCTCTACAGACACTTGTTTCTGCAGACCTGTCTCCACAGACAAGTGTGAGAGGTGATGAGCAGAGGTGATGACTGCACTGAGTCTCCCATGCAACAGCCAAAATCCTCCTCCTTGACCTTGACGCCTGCAAAGCTCCGAGATCTGGAGAACATTTACCCTCACACATGGGCTGAGCACAGAGCTGACCACATGGACTGATGAGGAAACAGAGGGATTGTTGTCAGAACAAAGCAAATACCAGGAAAGGACAACCAGAAGAGGTCAGGATCTTTCAAACAAGGGATGGGAGGACTCTCTAAACAGCCAACACTGGTCTGGCTCACCTTTTCCTGGGATCAATGGCAAAGCACTCACTGGTGCCAAAGGGGCAAAGTTATGCCAACACTGAAAGGATAAGCAGAGTAAAGAGAAAGCAAGCTCAGGGAGAGCTTCTCATTTATATCACTCACAGCAAACTCCTCCTAATGAATCCTGTTCAGATTCATCAGACTCACTGCAGAGCCAAGCAGGACCATATGGGAAGACACTTAAGGAAGGGATTTTCCTTTGCAAATCTCCTTGAGTTTCTGAGGATGAAGAAGGAAGAACCTGTGGCCAAAGCCTGTGAAAAGCAAGACAAAACTGAAGGCTGGCACTGAGAATATCCTTCCATGGCCTCTGTGCCCTTCAACCCGTGTTAAAATTCAGGTGTGGAAGAGAGGACCAAGCAGTGAGCTGGAAAAAGCATCAGAACCTCATTGGTGATGAGCAGAGATAAGCAGGACGGGCTGCAGGACCCATCAGCTCAGCAAACACCACTGATGAGGACAGCACAGACTGTCACTGGTGATAAAGAACAAGCTAAACACTCTATTAGTTTTTCATTTGGGGAATTAATGGGTTTGATGTTGTGTGTACACTCCCCAGTTAATGAACTGCCTCGTTGGAGCTGCCTGAGGAGCTCCTCGGCAGGCACAAATCCCACCAGGAAATCAGCTCTTTCCAAGAGGCAACAACTCTTCCCAAAGTGGCTTGTTTGCCATTACTGTCTGCAGATAGGCAGCCTTGGGAAAGGGATTGTCAAGGGGAAAAAAGGGATCTGCCAAGCAGAGGGACAAGGCACGAAGTATGGTGAGAGGTTCAAGCTCCATCGCATGACAATCCACAGGGAGGTTTGGTTGGACACCACTCTCCTTTGCAGACAAATGTGGAAAGGTCTGAAAAGCCCCAAAACCTCTTGGTTAATTTACAAAACTCTGAAGGTTGGGCGTTCAGCACTGAAGAGCAGGTTTTATTCACTGAAGGAAGCTCCTGCCAAGAGCAGGAGAGATGGCACAGCTGAAGACCTTCAGTGTGAAAGATCTTTTTGAGAAGTCCAAGGTTTCCTCTTCCAGAGCTCCTCCACCACAACAACTCTGTGTTAAATTTCTCTGTTTCCAGTAATTTATAATGTTCTTTCCCCTTTCTTATCCCTCCCAGAAATATTATTTCTTGGGCTGAATTCTATTAGCTCAGATGAGATTTGATTTAGAAAGGTTAGGAAAAAGCTTTGAGTTACCTCAAGCAGTTTTTGTTCCATGTTTCCCACTCTTCTTTCTGCTTGGTTGGCCAAATCCAGCCATGGGCTGGATGTCATAGAGTCATAGACTGGTTTGGGTTGGAAGGGACAGCAAGGATCATGTAGTCCCACCCCCTGCCCTGGGCAGGGACACCTCCCACCAGCCCAGGTTGCTCCAAGCCCCATCCAACCTGGCCTGGCACACTCCCAGGGATGGGACACACTGGCACCCAGAAACACTCCTTCTCTGTACAATATTCAGATGGCTCTGGAAGGCTGAACCTCCAGCAAGGAAAAGATGAGTGTGCGTTCCATCTGCATAGGAAAAGGCAGAGAAACAGGAGAGGAAGAGCAGAGGAAATTCTCCTTCCATTTTCATACAAAACCTCTTTAAAATTGACTTCACTTCCTCAGTAAATTCATCTTGAAGCAACTTAAAGCCTTAACTGGTTATTGTTCACAAGGAGCTTGTATTCCCTCAAAAGACAAGAGCAAAAAGCAAATGACTTTGTCATATCTGACTGGTTTGGAAAATACAGAATCCAATTCTGAAGGAGTGCAGATAAGGGAAGAGCTGGGGAAGAGCCATCAGCTTAGCAAACACCACGTAATGAGGACTGCAGAGACTGCCCAGCATGATAAAACTCTCTATTAGCAGGGCTGGTTTTAAACAAGTGATAATTGTGGCACAGCCACAGTGAAAGGCGATTGGATTTTTCTCTCTGGGAAGGACCTTCTGACAGCCTCACCAAAACACACCAATAGCTAACTCCTTTCTAGGACTTCCCATCCCAAAATGTGTCCAGACCTGCCAAACTAAACCCTGTGCTTTGTGAGGATTTAGAGCTGTGCTTACAAATTGCTCATTATCAGCCAAGAAAGCTTTGCTGGAAAAGCAGAGACACCTCCCCACCAGACCAGGTGTAATCTCAATTCCCTCTTTCCATTTCTCCCCATTGCTCCTTGTCCTGTCCCTGCAGCTCCTAACACAGAGTCCCTCTGCAGCTTCCCTGGAGCCCCTTCAGCTCCTGGCAGGTTGCTCTGAGCTCTCCACACAACCTTCTCTTCTCCAGGCTGAGCAGCCCCAACTCTCTCAG